TTAAATAATTTGTTGTACTATTTAAAATACACTACTCCTCTTTTTAAATTATTTTTTGTGCTATCTAAAATATATCACAATGTATATTCTAATATATTTTTTAACATACTTGAATGCTAAACATAACAACTAATGAGGCTAGGCACTTGTTTAGATTGAGGCATTTGCATAATGTTAATTGTTAGCTATTGCACTTCAGGACAAATGGTGAGAAATGGTATCCCCACTAGTCTTTAGTTTTTAAATAGCTAGAACAATGTTTAACTCTCTTAAGTTCTTTTGTGTTTAACCATCAGGCCATCAATCTTAGATGGCTGGATTTTGTGCCCTCTATATTACAGAATGAAACCATGAGTGTGGAGGGCTTAATGATGTTAATTTTAAATTTATTTTTAAGGTTTAAATTGGCATTCTGTTACATGTTAGTGTTAATAAGTGTTAATAGTTTTTCAATATAGATTATTTACATAAGTGATAAGTTAGACCAACACATGACAGGTGGAAGAGTCCGAGATGGAGTCCGAGATGGAGTCCGAGATGGACCAAGACGGAGTCCGAGATGGAGTCTGAGATGGACCCGAGATGGACCCGAGTTGGACCCGAGTTGGAGTCTGAGATGGAGTCCGAGATGGACCAAGACGGAGTTCGAGATGGAGTCTGAGGTGGAGTCCGAGATGGAGTCTGAGATGGAGTCCGAGGTTGAGTCCGAGGTGGAGTTTGAGATGGAGTTCGAGATGGACCGAGACGGACTCGAGATGGAGTCTGAGGTGGAGTCTGAGATGGAGTCCGAGATGGAGTCCGAAGTGGAGTCCGAGATGGACCGAGACGGAGTCTGAGATGGAGTCCGAGATGGACCGAGATGGAGTTCGAGATGGAGTCCAAGATGGACCAAGACGGAGTCCGAGATGGAGTCCGAGATGGACCTGAGATGGAATCCGAGATGGAGTCCGAGAAGGACCCGAGATGGAGTCCGAGGTAAGGACCAAGACTAGGACCAAGACCGAGACCGAGACCGAGACCGGGACCGAGACCAAGACCGAGGCGGAGGCCTAGACCGAGCCCGAGTCCGAGTCCGAGTCCGAGTCCAAGTCCGAGTTCGAGTCCGAGTTTGAGTTCGAGTCTGAGAGGGTGAAAACCCAAAGCGTTCGTCTCCCAGACCCTGGGGGGTTTGGTGAGCTCCAAAAGTATAGTAGGGGGAGGACTGCAGTGGAGCCAGTTTGGCCAAGAAAGGCCAGTTTGGCCAAGAAAGGCCAGTTTGGCCTAGGAAGGCCAGACCCAGTGTTGGGTGATGAACTGACCACTGGGAAGTGTAAGCGACTAATTTTTCCATTCTACTTTAGTCACTTAACCACACCTCCGACCACTTGGAGGAGTCTCATTCACAACCTCCATAAGTCCCATTCAGGACTTGGGGCTTGCTAGCCCCGAGAATGGCATCCATGCCACTCAACCTTTGCACTTGGTCCAAGTGCTCCACGTGTCCGATCCCATGACCGACACCCAAAGGTACCACTGACATCTCGGCCCGTTACGCTAAGGCCATGCCCATTCACCTTTGCTACGCAAATGGTCCAATACCACTTGCATCACCATCCCGTCTCTCCAAGACTGGGCCATCTGTCTACGAGGGGTCATCCTAGATCCACTCCTTAGCATCCTTAGGATGCCCACAGACCTGGGGAATCGCCTTCCCCAAAGTCCCTTTGTCAGTTCCTACCAAGTCCCTTTCTGCCCCTGGCCGTGTTTGCCAACACTGCCACTGGATCGAGGTCCACAGGCCCGACCACTAAGTCCCACGGTCCTCTGGGACTTCCTCACCACACGACTGTGTCCTTGGTCACTACCCCAGAGGACTGCTCCTCTTCCTTTCCACAGTCTGGGCCTTTGGGACGACATTTCGGAACACCGTGGCCTTACGCGAGCCACCTGGGTACTCTCCCCACCTATCGCCTTTAGGTGCTCTAGCCATGGGCTTAGAGCGAGGTTCCGTTGAGCCACGCCTGGTATCCAAGTAGGTAGTGCCACCCACACTTGGACTGGGAGCATCGGCCAGTCGATCTCCCGGGGGAACTAGAGCCGGCTCTTGAACACTTCACCAAGCTACCCCGCTTGTCGGTCCGTATTCACTCTAGTCTTGGACTTCCCAGTGG